TCACTTATCGCAGGGCTTCAGGGTACAGATCCCCCGCGATAAATGAGGGACTACTGCATTATAGAAAATTTCTGTCAGAATTTACCCCAGAAATGTTGCAGCTTACTGCTGTTGTTAATCACTGATTTCTGTAGTGAATGTAATCTCTGAAACAACATTTACAAGAACCACAATGAAGTTTGTGAAACTGGAGCTGGTTTAGATGACAGCAGTCCACTCTGGTCCAGCGGCTTCGAACCTTATCAGCCCATTAAATGCCCATTATTACTTGTTATCATCCCCATAGGCTGCGTTCAGACTGTCCCTCCTGTACCTCCTGTACCTCCTAGTAGGTTTAAAGGTACATTTTTATTGTTGATAATATGCAGCGTTGCCCGCATCTTTTATTATCATTTTTTTTTCCTTTCGGCTGCTCCCTGTGTTAGGGGTCGCCACAGCGAACTAAGTCGCATGAAGACTTGGCAGTTATTTTTACGCCGGATGCCCTTCTTGATGCAACCACAGACCACCGAGCTACCACAGCTCTCTGTGTGAAGCAGAGAGCTGCTATCTAGGACACCCGGAGGAGGAGATGGTGGGGGTTAAGGGCCTTGTTCAAGGGCCCAGAGTGGGACGAATGAGGGTGGGGGCAGGTGTGGGTGCTTCACCTACCCCACCCACATTTTTGATGTTGTCGGTACCGGGGCTTGAACCGGCTATCTTCCGATCACAGGTCCACCTAACCTCTGCGCCACCACTTCGCCCGCGTCTAAAACCGGAACCTTTTTTTAAGCTTTATTTAAACCAACATTCTAAATGGGTGTCTGGTCTTATAGTGTTTGAGCGGGCTGTTAGCTTGTCAGTCCGGTCAAGTACAAATTCTATTTCAGAGGACTTTCATAAAAATTCTCCAAGGTCCATCTGAAGAAAAATTAAGCAGACCTTACTGAGGATTAGAGGCAGAAAAGCCAGTCCACTGTCATTTACAAGCAGAAGGCATGCCAGCCTGGGAATTACCACCAAGGCTAGAAAAGCTTCACTACTGAAAACAAATTATTGTAAATATGACAAAACATGCGCAGGTAAAATAAATATTTATTTTTATTAAAATTTAACATTGACTCTGAGTCTAGCTGAGAATGAATTTGGGTCTGTATGCAATCCATCGTGTAGCAAACTCTACTCCATTTTCTTTATACTGTTGTATGTAGACAGCTGTCTACAACAGGTAAAACAAAAACTCTTCATAACTTCTCCACTGAACCCCACTTCAGATTGTATGGAATATGACTTTACTTGGGTGGATTTGGTCCATCTTAACTGTGCTTACTAAATGGCAGAGCAGCATGAAGGCAAACTGTCATCAAAGTGAAGGTTTAGCAGTAAAATAAAGTTGATTTAAAATATTTAAAGTCTTTAGCTGAGCTGATGCTTGTTTTCCTGCCTGTGTTGCTGCTTCAGTGCTGGCAGGCTCCGCTCTGCACTTCATCTGCTTTGCTGACACATGGAAACAGGGAGCAGCTTGATGACCTGGCTGTTGTGGCTCAAGCTAACTCCATCTGCAGCCCCCTCACTGCTCCCACCCGTCAGAACCATTGTTCCTGCAGGTTTCATGATTGGATTTATACTAGCAAATGAACAATGTTCAAATACTGAGGTTTAAATTGTGTCTTCTGTTCTTTGAACTTGTTAGTGTTTGTATGTTGGTTGTATTGTTGGTTTTACGCTTTATTTTTGTGTTTTTGAGATACATTGGACACTCAAGGTTCACATTGAGCTTTGGCTAAGCTAGGCTAGCTGTCGGATTCATCACACACACAAAAGCTGGTATCAAGATCTGAACCACTCAGGCGAGTCACCCTTGTTTTAAATTGCTTGAATTTGTTGTTACTGTATGTATGCTGGTTTTGACGCTTTATTTTTATCTGTTTTTGAGGTACATGAATTGTTGTCACTAATCTGTTGAGGAGTTCTGCACAGAGCTTTAGCTAAGCTAACTGTCGGAATCAACGTACATCAAAGCTGAGATCGAGCTCTAAATGGTCGTGGTATTTCTAAGTTGTTCTACAGGCCCTGAACTGTGCTGTGATCCATGCTGAGTATTGATTTTATTTCCTATTCATTGACCCATCAACAATTTATATAGGTAATGTAGGTCAAAACATTCCTGACGCATCGTTGCATCTCTATGCTGACGATGTAATTGTTTTTTGTTGAGTTAACACTGTTGCCAAGGTTTTCCAGCTTCTACAGTCTGCACATCATTCAGTCAGATTTTTTCCACTTCAAGCTGGTGCTAAATGCTGACAAAACCAAAGGGATGTTGTTTTCTAACAGGAAGTCAGTACCAGCAGTCCTTCCTCTTATTTCATCCATGCATGGTGTTCCTATTGAGTTTGTAGATTCTTGTAAATACTTGGGATTTTTAACTGATGCACATTTCTCTTTTAAACCACATATCAAAAACTTGATAAAGAAACTGAAATTAAAACTGAGTTTATTTTTCAGAAATAGATCTTGTTTAACTCTGAATGCCAGAAAACACTTTGTAACC